ACCCTCTTAGATGTCATATATACTTAGGGGAAACGTTGGGAATCTCTCCTCCAATGGTATATACTATCTTATACTTCAAATCAGAAATACTTTTTTTCCAACATTTTATGCTTGAGGGTTTTAGTGAACTAATAACCCTTAAGGACATTTATTTATTGTAAACTGACTATGGCAGAAATTGATTTAATACTTTTAAAGAATTGAATTCTAAAGGACCTTGTAGACCGGTTTGCTTTGCCTTTTCATTTTACAGATAAAACTCCGTTGCGGAGTTTTAAAACTCTAATTATGTAATAAAGTTAGAAATACAGTCTTCTGCTCATCGGTTCTGCTCTTTAAATATTTATGCTGTTCTCTTAGGCAGCCATTTTAAAATGATAATTATTAAGACTGTGTTGAAACATGGAAAACTGTTTATTATACAAATGAAAAAAAAAAAAGCAGCGCGCCAAATCACCTAAATATCTTAATTGCAACCAGTATGTCAAATTTGGGTACATATCAAGGTCTGGAGTATAATAGATGAAAACACTATGTGTGTTATGGGTATTTCTCTTTTAATATCCCTGAATATGGCTGTATTATATCAAAATAAGTTTCTTTTCTAAAAAAAATATTAAGGCTGCCATAGACAGAATGTGGAATCATAGGGATGGTGGTAGCTAGCTGAATTTGTGACCTGCATTTGCAGACTTTCCCAGACCCCTTCCAGCACCGGGAATATGTGTGATGAGGTTTTATCATTCTCAGCCCCTGGACCTACTCTTCCTTGTGTACCTGCCACTGGAAGTCTTCCTTTGTTCCCTTGTTTCTCAGGCTATTTTATGGAATCTACTGATCTAGCATGGCTGAAGAATGACTTCTATGTGGGTGGCAACTACGGTCATCTGTCTCTACCGAAGGCAGAACATAAAGAAAATTGGCTTAAACTAACACTTTGCGTATCTAGATGACATTGGAAGAATATTTTTGCCTCCAACATTGGATGAGTTACAAAGAATGACTGAGGATGTTCTTTCTCTGGTTAGCCTTACATCTCAATGGCTTGTCCACAGTGAGGTCTGAGGGAGGGAGAAATACTTTAGGTGACTCACTCCCAAGACTCCCCTGGACTTGATTTTTTCATTTTGACTCTAGCTAAATGGCTTTTCCATGTGATAAGAAGCGTGCAGGAGCGACATCAACAAGTTAAGTAGCGCAGTGTTTCAGATCTTAGCTCTGCAAATACATTTCAATCATATATGCTTGTTTACTGCAGTGGATGAAGCTGGAGTCAGCCCATGGCTGATCTGGTGGGATAAATGTGAAGCTAGTGAATATTTATATATTTTTATTATTTTTAAAAATTTTATTTGAAAGATTTTATTTATTTATTCATGAGAGGCACAGAGAGGGAGGCAGAGACACAGGCAGAGGGAGAAGCAGATTCCCTGCATGGAGACCGATGTGGGACTCGATCCCAGGACCCCGGGATCACGACCTGAGCCAAAGGCAGACGCCCAACCACTGAGCCACCCAGGCATCCCTGAATATTAATATATTATATATATGCCTTTCCTCAGTGAGGGATTAAGTCCTACTTTCTAAAATATTTGGGTTTCTCTGAATGATGCTTTTGCTAAATAGTAGATGGTACTTATTAGCTCAAATGACTGATTACACTTTTATATCATTGTGCTTTCCCTGTTAAAGTAGTGAGATGTTATGGCCATAGCAGCTGCATTTTAGGTTAAAAAAAAGTGGGGGGTTCTGTGAAAAGGAAAGAGAAGGAGCAAGTGTGAACAAGCAGAGGACACTATGTCAGATGTATAGGCAGTGCTTGCTGTTAGATCTTTGATAGTATAGTCAATTCAATTTTCCACTCTGGCTTAAATAATTTATTTTATTCTCTCTTCCCAAAGAAACATCTTCCTGAATTATGTTTGTTTGTTTTTTTAATTCCACCAATCCTTTGCTCAGAAATGTCTAGTGAATCTCTCTTGCTAGTCGATTAAGATCTTATTTTACCCCCGGCTTCCTACGCCTAGTTTTGTCCAGGCCATGGAATCACATGTCCTGTCGACTTCCTTGAGAGACACTCTTCCAAAGTTGGGGACCCATCCCTCCCTATCCTCTGAGCATACCTCTAGCCCACTGTATTCTCCTTTCTCTGTGGAATCCCCTAGTATTTTTGTCTTCACAGTAGACTTGGCATTTATTTTTAAAGTTTTCAACAATAAAACCATAATAGTAGCTAGCTACCATTTCTAGTGCTTATGATATATGCCAGGCAGTGTCTTCAGTACTTTACAAGAGCTGACTCCTCAATCCTCAACAACATTTCAAGATTATTATTCTTACTTTATAGGTAAAGAAATGGAGACACACAGGGATTAGGTAACTTGTCCAAAGCCATATAGCTAGTTAAGTGGCAGATCTGGGATTCTATCCCAGGCTTCTAGATTCACACTGTTCTTGACCACAGGTCTAAACTACCATTAATACATTCTCTTTTTAGATGTTTTATTCCCTTAAGGTTTAACCTCTTTAAGTCAAAGACAAAGTCTCCTGTTCTCTGCTTTACCTCGTTACATAGCCCTGCGCCCGGAGCAAGGAGTTGCTCTGTGAACATCTGTTTATTGATGTGACCTACTATTTTATATTTTTAATTATTGTTTTTTAAAAAGATTTTTTAAATTTATTTTTTTATTTTTAATTTTAGTTTTTTAAAAAAGATTTTATTTGTTTATTCATGAGACACACACACACACACAGAAAGGGGGGGGGGCAGAGATAGAGGCAGAGGGAGAAGCAGGCTCCATGCAGGGAGCCCGAAGTGGGACTTGATCCTGGAACCCCAGGATCATGTCGTGGGCTGAAGGTGGTGCTAAACCACTGAGCCATCCGGGCTGCCCATAAAAGATTTTTATTTTTAAGTAATTGCTACACCCATCATGGGGCTTGAACTTATAACCCTGAGATCAAGAGTCAGATGCTCTACCAACTGAGCCAGCTAGAAGCCCCAGTGTGACTTGCTATTATCAGTGGTTGGTCAAGTTCTCAGGTTTTCCTAGGAGTTTTGGCTTTGTTGGGTTTGACTTGGTTTTATCTCCCATACACTGACACTCTGTTCTCCCTCTAATTAGTGGTATGAGATGGTCAATGTGGTTGCCAAGAATTCAAATCTGGGGCTTTTGTTACCCAAACGAACTCAGGGTGGGTGACTACTAATGAGTGTGAAACCGAATCTCAAATTTTTCTCTGTGCATCAAAGGCAATATTTTAAGTTTTGTGTGTTTATTTTCTTAAGCACAGTCTTTAAAATTATTTTTGGTTATTTGATGTGTCATACAAAATGAGAAAGAGCAACCTATGATTTCACTTTCCTTATAGTATCAGATCCTAAAACCATGCTTAATTTTATGCAGCTCCTCCGATTTCTTTGGAGAAGAAAAAGCTCTTCATACCGGGAAGAGTGAAAGTTGGTTATGGTGAAGTGACTTTTAGTGAGGGCTCTGTACGTACAATGTTAAGTTTAAGGGCACGTTATCTCTCCTGATAAAGGCAAAATACTTGGTCAAAAAAAGCTGAAGTCTCATGTTGTTGAAGTTTATTTTCTGTGTTTCTTTTATTTGTTTCTAACAGCTTGCTAAGATAGGTGCTCAGAGCCAGATGTTTCCAGTGCTCTAGTGGTTATATATGTACCTGTGCATTAGTTGGCGAGATAGAAGCTATCTCTGGCTAACGTAATAAGAAAGTAGTTGAAAGAGTATTGAATAACTGGCAGAATCAAGCGGAAAATGTCAGCCTTAAGGCTAACTGTAACAACTCTGGCATCTTTGGGAGGCCGGGCAGGAGCATCTCTTAAGTCTTGGCCATCGTAATGGCTCAGTTCTGTTCCCTTTTGATGCACAGCTTAGGATTTGTGTTCTTTGGAGGGGGGAGTTACATTTGTTCTTAGCCTAAGTTAGTCAGGTGTGCATTTCTTATTTGGGGTGATTGATAGGCCACCAAAAACACAAGAAATGGGAAAGGGGTATTTCCAGTTACTAAGAAGGGGAAACAGGCAACACTGACAGATGCCCACTTCTTTTTTTTTTTCTTAAAAGATTTTATTTATTTATTCATGAGAGAGACAGAGAGAGAGAGAGGCAGAGACACAGGCAGAGGGAGAAGCAGGCTCCCTGCAGGAGCCTGATGCAGGACTCGATCCCAGGAACCTGGGATCATGACCTGAGCCGAAGGCAGCCGCTCAACCACTGATGCTCACTTCTAACAAGGTTCCTCTCAAAGCAGAGAGAATTTAAATGATAGTTTCAACTTGAACAATGAGAGATTTGGATAGTGCCTGAATTCAATCACTAAGTTATTCTTCTAGGTGGAAAATCTTAGCAGTTTACTTCATTAATCAGCAAATGTTTTATATTGAATTGTGAATATGTGTTTATTTTTCTGATCACATTTTAAAAATGGTATTTATTTTCATATTTATTTATTTATTTAAATGTTTTCATATTCTGTTTTCAAATGTACACAAAAATATAATAAGACGAACGCATCAGTAATCGTTTATTCAATTTAAAAAAATATTAACATTTTGTCAATCTTGTTTTAGTTGATTGCATTTTAAAGGATTGACATGTTTTTAGAGCTGACTATATAGAAACTCAAAAGATTTACCATGAAGTCTGAGAAATGCTTTATGGACATACATCCAAGCATCAAATGATTAGCCTCATTCCAAAAAATATGTTGCCAGTTAGGACAGAAGATGGCCTTGTGTAGCATTAATGCACTGTTTATCTGGAAGTACAATTTTATTTCAATCAGGAAGGCTTTTTACTAACCTAAGACTGGAAAATCAATTCCCCAGTACTCTTTCCAGATTACCTTTACCAACTTTGTCTTCTGGTCCTTGGAATCTTTGGGGAGTGAATCCGAGGTTTTATTTGATAGTAAATTTTCTGAATGCCAGTCTGCATGTGCACTACGAGCTGAAAATCCTCTCATCTCTTTTGCAGTTGAAAGATGCATGAGTGTGATGCAGTCTGGGACTCAGATGATCAAACTGAAACGTGGAACCAAAGGGCTAGTCCGGCTCTTTTACCTGGATGAGCATCGGACCCGCCTTCGATGGAGACCCTCTAGGAAGAGCGAGAAGGCAAAAAGTAAGACCAGCCTTTGAATTCTTTGCTTGACTTGATATAGTAACACATGAGTTATATTTGCTGGGCTCTGTGGAAGCTTCAGGTCTATGGTATTTTTGTAAGTTTTGCCGTCTGTTGCTAAAGAATGTGGACAGACTGAATAAGTAAGGACCATTTTTGCGTTTTTAATTCTTTGGGAATTTCAGTCCATAAAAGTTTTCTTGTCCATGAATGCTGTGAATGTTAATATTTCCCCTGTATTGGAGGCATCTTTTTTTTTTTTTTTTTTTGTTGTTGTTGTTGTTGGGATATGAGGTTTTATAATGTGAGACCTTTTATTTTATTTTATTTTTCAAGAAAAGGTGAAGGGTATCATAAATCCAATGGACTTAAAAGTGTATGGCCATATTCTGAGCACGGTTAACTGATTAATGAGTTGACTTTTGATAATATCAAGCAAAGGAGCCTTGATCTCAGCCCTACTTAAAGTCTCTGTCCCACACTTTGTACAGTCACCAAGTCGGTGTCAGGTCCCATGTAATGGCTCTCTCATCTCCTTCCTTCCTGTTTCAAAGGCACCGCCCTGGTCTACAGTCTTTTCACCTTTCTGGCCTGTTGAGATATCTCCTAACCGATATCCATTTTGCTAGTTTCTTCTGCTTTTGTCGATTAAGACGCTTTCCTCTTCAAGTAGCAGAAGACTTTGACTAACCTAGACTTCATGATAAATGGATATAACATCTCACTCAACAGGAAACTCAGAGCTCGGCAGGTCCAGGCGTGGGACATTCTCTAGTTCGGTTTTCCTCAGTGCTCTTGGCTCTGTCCCTTGTATGTTGGCCCTGTAGTCAAGGCAACAGCAACATGATCCTTCCTTTTTTAGGAGAGAGGAACCCCTTTCCAGTATTTTCTCTCAAAGCAGACAGTCCCATGTCTCCTTGGTTAAAACTGAGTTATCGTCTCATACCTTAATCAGTCATAAGAAATAGGAATGGGCCAACCCCAATGGCCTAGACTCACCAGAAGTGCTCTAGGGTAGGCTTCGGCTCGTTTCTTTGTGAATCATGCAGGGAATGAGTTGATACCAGAAGAAAATTGTGACTTTGCTATTAAGGAGGAGGAGGAGGAGGAGGAGGAGGAAGAGGAGGAGAAGATGGTACATAGAGGCAGTCAGTAAACTTGCAACACTTCTGGTTCAATGCTTTAAAACAAGCAAGCAAACAAATAAAAAAGTACTATTTTAATCTAAAGTAATCGTCCCTGCTAGTGCTTCACTGATCCAAAGCTGCAGTACTGCTCCTTTACCTAAATGGTGCTTATCTCTGACTCTTATACTAGGCTGTGATCTAGCCTCCCCCTACCTTTCCAGCTTCATCTCCCAGCTCTCTCTCTCTCTCTCTCTCTCTCTCTCTCACTCACTTTCCAGTCTAGCATAAATAGTCTATTTAACATCCCTGGAGTGAACCTCGTGTTTCCGTATCTTATGCTTTCTCTCCTGGGATGCCACCCTATTCCTCTGTACCTCTCTAAGCCCTGCTTCACCTTTACCATCCTAGCATTCTTTCTGTAAATGCCGATCACATTTATCAGTGCTGCTCAGTTATCACCACATGTTTTTTTTTTTCCTTCCAATTTTGAACTCTCATCTTCTGCATAACTCTAGAGTTGGTCCTAGGTACTTTGTGTGTTTCGCCTGTGCAAATGTGCAAACTGTAAATTTGATTGTATTCATAGTCTCCTTTTCTACCAGTCTTTTCATCCCGATGTGTATATCGATCTTCCTACCATAAATTTCTTTTTTTTATTTTTGCTTTTTGTTTTTATTTTATTTTTAAAGATTTTATTTGGGATCCCTGGGTGGCGCAGCGGTTTAGCGCCTGCCTTTGGCCCAGGGCATGATCCTGGAGACCCGGAATCGAATCCCACATCGGGCTCCTGGTGCATGGAGCCTGCTTCTCCCTCTGCCTGTGTCTCTGTCTCTCTCGCTCTCTCTGTGTGACTATTATAAATAAATAAAAATTTTAAAAAAAGATTTTATTTATTTGTTTGAGGGAGAGAGAGCACAAGCTGGAGGGAGAGGCAGAGGGAGAAGCAGGCCCCCCACTCTGAACGGGAAGCCCGACAAAGGGCTTGATTCTAAGACCTTGGGATTATGATCCGAGCCAAAGGGACGCGCTTAACCAACTCAGCCACCCAGGTGCCCCCGTATCATAAATTTCAACATCTCCTGATGCAGGGCCTGGAAAGGCATTGTCCAGGCTGCCCAGGAAGGTAAAGTGGTATGTGGACAAGGTTCCTAGCAGGAAATAACAGGGCTTGTATTTCACAATTGAACATAATACTGCAATTCACAGAAAGTGAATTTGTTCATGATTATTTTTTTTTTAAGATTTTTTTATTTGAGAGAGAGAGAGAGAGAACAAGTATGGGGAGCAGCAGAGGGAGAGAATCATCAAGCAGACTCCATGCGGAGTGCAGAGCCTGATGCAGGGCTCGACCTTATGACCCATGAGACCATGACCTGAGCTGAAACCCAGAGGCAGACGTTCAACCGACTGATCCACCCAGGCGTCCCTGTTGATGCTTATTTTTAAAATTTACGATGGTTTTGTTCTTTCTTTTCCCCCTTAATCCATTATGCATACCTTCACCCGCCACGTAACTGTGTGCCTTACTTTCCTCCCAGTACTTATTGACTCCATTTACAAAGTGACCGAGGGCCGGCAGTCTGAGATATTCCACAGACAAGCTGAGGGGCACTTCGATCCCAGCTGCTGCTTCACCATCTACCATGGCAACCACATGGAGTCTCTGGATCTCATCACCTCCAACCCCGAGGAGGCCCGCACCTGGATCACAGGCCTCAAGTACCTGATGGCTGGCATCAGTGATGAGGACTCCCTTGCCAAGCGGCAGAGGACCCACGACCAATATCCTCCCCGGAGTGTTAACTTTGATCTCGGCGTGTGTGTGCGTGTATTAGACCGTGTTTTATTCTCTCCTACAAGTTTGAGGCATAAAGCTGCTTTCCTGTCTTCCTCTTTACCCCCAGCACCTTTCTGCCCTCTGCTCCCTCTGACCCCAAGTAGATGAATGCGCGCAACGTAGAGAGACAAGCTTGCATGGACGCAGGAGCAGGGTTCTGGTGAGGAGCCTGAATTTAGCACCACGATCTGAGAGGCCTCTGCGTGCAGCCTAAGGTTTCCTAGGAGGGATGAGCTAGCTGGGAAAGAGTTTATTTGGATTAGAGAAAATCCTGCTTTGTGATCAAGTCAGTTTAGTTTAACAAATACTTTTTTTTTTTTTAAAGATTTTATTTATTTATTCACGAGAGACCCAGAGAGAGAGAGAGAGAGAGGCAGAGACACAGGCAGAGGGAGAAGCAGGCTCCCTGCGGGGAGGCCAACGTGGGACTCGATCCCGGGACCCCTGGGGTCACACCCTGAACCAAAGGCAGATGCTCAACCCGTGGGCCACCGGGGTGTCCCAACAAGTACTTTTTGAGTTCTTATTACATATGAATATTAAGCTCCTTCCTCCTTCTTCTCTCTCTTTAATTTACAGTTTGGAAACTGACACAGAAGGACAAGTTATTTTCTACTTCATACCATTTACCTTCTCTCAATTGTTTAAAACACTTCTGGGGACACGTCTGAGTCTCCTTGATTAAGCCCTTTCTTGAGGTCCTGTAATACTGACAAGATAGTCAACATGCTTGGTCTGAAGGCACTTCTGCTGCTGGTATTGAGCTGGTCAGCTGCCATGGCCTTTCTGGCCTCAATTTCCTTATCTGTAAAGTGAGGGCAATGGAGCTGTTGACTGCTTTGGTTCCCTTTTTCAAATTTTGAATGGTCTTAAAATACACGTGTCCCTGTGTATGAAGAAATAGTACCACTTCCTTGCTGTCATTGGAATGTGTGCCCTGATTTTTCTCCCCCCAGCGTAGTGATAAATTTGTGCTGCTCTAGTTATAATTCCTCACCCAGGGTATTGTTTGAGCAGAGCAGAAATATTCAGCCCATGAAAGGAATTTTGACAGTGTGAATGTCTGAGCTGATGAGCCGTGATGTTTTTCATCAATATTCACAGCATGCGGATAGATGCACCTGGGATTCATAAATGAACAAAACATAAACATAGAAACTAACTTTCTGTGCTTTATTCCGTTAATTTAGTCCTTCACTCCTTAACATTTGGTTTACAAAAAAAGCCCCACAAAAATACCGAATAAAATCGCTTTCTGGTATAAGCCACAGAACTGTACCAACAGTGCCTGGAACTAAAAGAATATTCATTTTTCATGAGCAGGAGATGTGAGATGGGGCAGTTCAAGGGTTGGTCAGGCAGTGGCTCAGTGATGTCATCAGAGACTGGGGTTCGACGAGGCACAGGTGGTTGGTGCGGTCCTCAGTGGGCTGCCCCTTGGTCAGACGGATGTATGGCTGCTTCAGGTGGCAGCTCCAAACAGCCCTGCTCAGAGGGATCATAGTTTCTTCTCACAAACCTTTTTAAAAATTTTTTTTTCAAAGATTTATTTATTTATTTACTTATTTACTTATTTATTTATTTATTTATTTATTTATTAATTTATTTATTTATGAATGAGAAAGAGTGAGAGGGAGAAAGCCCAAGTGGGGTGAGGGGCAGAAGGAGAAGCGGACTCCCCACTGGACAGGCCGGATCCTGGGACTCCCGGGATCACGGCCCCATTGGCAGATGCCTAACAGACTGAGCCATCCTGGTGCCCCTCACAAACCCTTTTCTTTAAGAGCAAAGTAAATCTTCCCAGGACACCCCTCCCCTCCTACCCCCAAAAGACTAAGTCTCATCATTGGCCAGAATTGCTGTTACAGGCCCGTTCCTAAGCCAGTCTTCAACAAGGTAAATAATGAGCATAATTGGAGCTCGGGACTCTTGCACTCGTAAACACTGAAGACTCCAAAGAGTTCGTTGTTTATGTGGGTTTCAGCTGTTGATCCTGTCATATTAGAAATTAAATCTGAAAATTAAAAATGATATTTGTCAATTCATTTAAAATTATAATGAACTATTACATGTTAACATATATTTTTTTAAGGTTTTATTTATTTATTCATGAGAGACACAGAGAGAGGCAGAGACACAGGCAGAGGGAGGAGCAGGCTCCCTGCAGGGAACGAGATGTGGGACTCCATCCCAGGACTCCGGGATCACGCCCTGAGCTGAAGGCAGATAGATTCCCAACCGCTGAGCCACCCAGGCATCCCACATGTTAACATATTTTTATGAGAACTATTTTTCAAGACAAATTAGTGAGGAACAGTAGAGTGGCTTTCCTCCTTTGCAAGTCTTTTTAACATCCACCTGAATAGAACCCAAGTATTTTCCTGTCTGCCTCTGCATTCAGTCCGTATGTTATATTGTTTTAGTGGAAATGCATGAAGAAAACTTATCCTCACCCAGGTAAATAGTTGGAAAAGGCGGGGACTTCATGGTTATGGGGACCCTTTGGGTTATACTTTGGGGATGGCTGTCCTAAGGCCAATCAAGATTCACCTTCCTGCTCCATTGGAGCACCTGGTTCTTGCATACCTGAACACAACCGAGGTTCTCCAACAAGGAAGAAGGAAGGAACATGGCTGTAGGGGAAGACAGTCCATTCTAGAAGTTGCTATCCTCACCCAGTTAACTAGGACAAATTCACAGTGTTCACAGAGCCTTTAACTATGTATGTAACTGCCTCTCATAAGCCTTGAAGTAGACCAGTAAGAGCAACGGGCATATTGTCGTTTTTTTCTAAGTGGCGGCAAAATTTACCCCTTTATCAGATCTTTCCAGTTACATGAGAAATGCATGCTCATTGCGGTAAGCCAGAGAATACAGAGCTGCATAAAGAAAAGATCAATAGTCTTTATCCCTGTGTATGAATTTTTGCACCTTCTTCTTCAAGGTGACTGATGTGAACAATTTGATGCACCCCCTTATCCCTCCTGCCTCATTTTTAAATCCGGTGATCTGTTTTTCTGTTGAGTTTTAAGAGTTCTGTATATTAATCCCTTATCAGATACATGATTTGCAAATACTTTCTTCCATCCTGTTGGTCTTTTTACTTTATTGATAGTGTCCTTGATGCACAAGATTTTTAAGTTTTCATAAAGTCCAATTTGTCTGTTTTTTCTCCTCTCACTGGTACTTTGGTGTTAATACCCAAGAAATCCTTGCCATATCCCATGTTGTGAAGATTTTATTCTGTCTTCTGTTAAGAGTTTTATTGTTTCAGGTCTTCCATTTAGGTCCTTGATCCATTTTGAGTTGATTTTTGTGGGGAGTGTTAGCTAATGATCCAACTTCATTCTTTTACATGTCGATATCCAAGTTTTTCAGGCCCGTTAGTGGAAAATACTGTCCTTTTTTCATATAAACGTCTTGTCGGCCATGTCAAAAATCATTTGACCATAGATGTGAGCGTTTATTTCTGGGCTATTTTAATGATTTATATGTTTGTCTTCACGTTAATACAACACTGTTTTTGATTACTGTAGCTTCGAGATAAGTTTTGAGATCAAGAAGTGGGAGTCTTCCAATTTTGTTCCTTTTCAAGATGTTTTGGCTATTTAGAGTTCCTTGATATCCCATATGAATTTTAGGATGGATTTTTCTATTTCTGCAGAAAGCATCATTAGGATTTGGATAGAAATTGCATTGAATCTGTAGATTGCTTTGGGTCGTACTGACATTTTAACTAAATTGTCTTCCAATCCATGAATGTGGGATGTGTTTTCATTTAGTTGTGTCTTTTTAAATTTCTTTCAACAACGTTTTGTAGTTTTCATTGTGCAAGTTTTTTGACTTCCTTTATTCCTAAGTATTTTATTACTTTGATTCAATTGTAAATGGAATTGTTTTTGTAATTCCTTCTCAGATCGTTCATATATAGAAATACAGCTAGTTTTTGTGTGTTGACTTTGTGTTCTACGACTTTGCTGTATTCATTTATTCTAACAGCTTTTTATGGAGTCTTTAAGGTTTTCTGTATATAAGATCATATCATCTGTATGTAGAAAATTATATTTCTAAATTAAACGGCCCTTCCTTCCTTTCTTCCTCCCTCCCTCCCTCCCTCCCTCCCTCCCTCCCTCCCTTCCTTCCTTCCTCCCTTCTTTCTTTCCTTCCATCCTACTTTTCCTCATTCCCTCCTCCCTTCCTTCCTAGTTGCTCTAAAACTTAGTTGTGTTGAATAAAAGTGGTGAAAGCTGGCATCCTTGCTTTCCTTGTTCCTGATTATAGAGGAAAACCTTTCAGTCTTTCACTGTTGAATGTGATATTTACTGTTTTTTTTTTCATATGTGACTTTTATTATGTTGAGGTAGTTTTCTTTTATTCCTATTGCTTTGTGTGTTTTTATCATGAAAAGTTGTTGAATTTTTTCAAATGCTTTCTGCATCAATTGAAATGATCATGTGGTTTTTTTCCTTCATTATGTTGATGTGGTATATTGCATTGATCTATTCTCATATGTTGAACCATCTGTATATTCCAGGAATAAATTCCACTTGGTCACGGTGTATAATTCTTTTAATATACTACTGAATTTTTGTTTGCGAGCATCTTGTTGAGGACTTTTATGCTGTTTATTGGTCTGTATTTTTTTTCTTGTGGTATCTTTGGATTTGGTATCAGAGTAATGCTGGCCGCATAGAATGGGTCAGGGGATGTCCCTTCCTCTTCAATTTTTTGAGAAGGATTGGTGTTAGTTCTTTTAATGTTTGGTAGAATTCAGCGGAGCTATCAAGTTCAAGTATTAAATATCGAGTTTCCTTTGTTAAGAGATTTTTGGTTACTGATTTAAGCTCCTTACTGGTTATAGATCTGTTCACATTTTGTTTCCTTTGTGATTTAGTCTCTGTAGGTTTTGTGTTTCTAGGATTTGTCCATTTCATTTAGATTATGC